ATCTGCGCCTGTGGCTGGAAGGTTGCCAGTTCAAATCCTGCAGCCCGCAGAGGAATCCTACTCCGTTGGGCCCCTGAGCAAGGCCCTTAACCCCAGCTGCTCCAGGGGCGCTGTACAATGGCTGACCCTGCGCTCTGACCCCAAGCTTCTCTCCCTGTCTGTGTGTTTCATGGAAAGCAAGCTGGGGTATGCACAAAAACTGTATATGACCAATAAAGTGATGTTATGTTATGAGAAGGACTGCAGGCTCTTCTTGGAACCATGAGTGGGAAAGGATTCACAGAAAGGAGGGCCTCTTCCTTGCTTTGCAGAATAAATGGTCATGATGGTGCTGCAGAGTTGCTGGTGGAGTCCATCGGTGCCCAGATCGTGAACTGCAGAGATGCCAAAGGAAGGTACGCATGGGTGGCTGCCAAAGGCCCAGAACGGTCCAGTTGTCCCTTCATCGTATAAGGGATTCTTAGCAGCTTGGCCAGTCATGCACCTGAAGTCAGTTAGGTGCTGGATAGATTGAAGGCCTTTAGTGGAGTAGATCATGCCCACCTGCATATCCATGAGCTGCTGTCTGTGTTCCCGCAGGACCCCGCTCCACGCCGCCGCGTTTTCCGAGAACGTGCATGGCCTGCAGCTGATGCTGTGCCAGGGGGCAGACGTCAATGCCGTGGACCAGTCGGGCAGGTCTGCCCTCATGGTGGCGGCAGACCGCGGGCAGACAGCCGCCGTAGGTAAGATGAGCCGAAGCGTATTGAAGTCTCAATTCTCTCGTTCCAAACTCCCCTGAGCTTTGCTTCACAAGGTTCGTTTCAAATGTCGGGAGTGCAGAGAGCATCGAGGACCCATGACTGGTACCGACCAGCGGAGGAAATGCAGATCGTAAGATAAAGGGCTGAAGGTGTCAAGTAGAACGGGGTTGTCGAACGCAAAGACGTTAAGACGTACACAGACATCTTACGTTTATGCTCCGTGGTTTGTTTTACGAAAGCATTTTTTCGTGGATCTGATGAAAGAGGGGCACCGCTGATGTATTGGGTCTTCTGTTTCCCACCCCAGAAATTTTGTTGCACCGAGCAAAGGCTGATTTGACGCTGATGGATGTCAACAAGAACACTGCACTGCATCTGGCTTGCAGCAAGGTGAGGGTCTAGAGTCTTCGCGCTGCGCCTGTCTGTCTTCCTCTGGTCTTTCTGTTCCGATGCTGAGCTAGCAGAGGGGGGGCGGCAGCCATGTCTCAGTGAAGCCTACTCGCTTCAGACCCGTGAAGATCCGCAGGGCCTGGCCGGTACATGGGTTGGTCATGTCTCTGGTTGCTGCTAGAGGTTTAGGCGGTATACCTCCTGTGGAACACTGGTGCTTTCTGTCGGAATAGGTTTTATCTTTCAGATCACGTCAAGCTAAGGTCCTGGCTCTTTGTTGTCGGTGAGCATGTCGTAGTGCTCAGGCCTTAAACTGTCCCTCTGTTTTGATCGGCCAAGTGATCGCCATTTGCCAGTCAGAGTAGGACGTGTCACATGCTGAGATCTTGGAACAGGTTGAAAGTTCAGCGGTCGTGCTGAACTTTCAGCGGTTAATTCCACCTTGACAGGTGTGCCTTGTCTTTTCTAGGGCCATGAGATGTGTGCCTTGTTGATTCTGGGGGAGACCCATGACCAGGCCCTCATCAATGCAACTAACAGTGCGCTGCAGATGTAAGTAAAGTGTTGGGTAGCGCCAATCTCAAGAGGCGCTTAATTTCCGAGGGCTGGCATCAGTTCCTTCTGAGATCCATATGGCTCCAACAGCCCTCAAAATGTTATTAGACTACTGAAGGCTCTTGGTTTTTTTTTTTTAACATCAGTACACAAGTGTGTTTAACTGTTAGAGAAACGTTCTTCTCGATTTTGCGAGGATGAGCCCGGAGGCGCTTGCGTTACCTGTGTCTCCCCACAGGCCCTTGCACATCGCGGCGCGGAACGGCCTGGCCACAGTGGTGCAGGTCCTGCTGAGCCGAGGGGCCACTGTCCTGGCTGTGGACGAGGAGGGTAAGCCAGATGCGTTTTGACTTCATGTTCGGAAATCGCTGGGTCCAGTTCAATTCCTCTACTCTACTTATGCCCAGCATGAGGCCTGGGATACGTGAGCAGCCTTAGAGATTTTCACAGTGGTTATTTTTTGTGCGAATTCAGTACTTAGTATTGGTTGTCCTTTCCCCTTTCTTGCACTAATTGAAACTGCTTGTAGGTAATCCTTTTGTTATTTACAGACCCCTGAAAATGTGTATCTGGTTGTTCAGATTTAGCTTTGTTCCAGAGGCCTTCAGGCTCTCAAGAAATGAGTGTGAAGTGTTTTATCAATATGATCTCACTTGGATAGAGCCCCCTCTGCAAACAGACATGGACTTTAATACTTAAGTTCCTAATGAAGTGATTTTTTTGTAGTATAGGACAAAGTGCACATGCACTTGTTTAGCTTCATAATCGTTTTATGGACATTCTGGTGTCATTTGTTTTCTTAGAAATGTTGTGATACGCTGTTCTTTTCGGAATGTGTTGTATGTTGCCCTGCTTGCGGCTTAACTTGCCCCCCTTGGGGATGGATAAAGTGTTCCGACATGAATCTCCATGTAGATCCATGTGCCTTGTTGGAGGAGCAATGTCAGGCCCGTGTGTGTATGTGTGTGTTTTTTCCTCCCAGGTCACACCCCAGCCCTGGCCTGCGCCCCCAACAAGGATGTAGCTGACTGCCTGGCTTTGATCCTCTCCACCATGAAGCCTTTTCCTCCCAAAGACCCCGGGGGCTCCCCCTTCGGCCTCAACCTGCTGAAGCACTGCGGCATCGCGGCGGCCTGCAGCCCCCTGCCCAACGGCAACCTGCGCCACCCCTACGCCAAGGAGCGCCCCGGCGCCATTGGCCTGGATGGCTGCTTCTCTGAGTGATGCCCACCATCCCTCCCGTGCCGGGTGACACCTAAATCATCCCTAAAATAAACAGCGGGAATCCTGCAGTACAGTCAAACCCAGATACAATCATACGCACTCCTCTCTTCCCACTCTCTCGACCCCCAGACTCCTGTAGCTCCAGGCCAATCCTGAAAAAACTTGAGTCTTTCCTAGGGGCTCCTAGATCGCTTGTGTTGGTAAATACCAAGCTATAGGGAAGTCTCTGATTGCACGCTCTGGTAGGAGGGTTTGAAATTCCAGGATTTTCCATATCCTTTGACTGCAGGAGTTTGGAGCAGTCAGGTCATTTTTAATTGCTTTTAATTTAATCTGTTTTCTTAAAAAAACGACTGTCGCTTGTATTGCATGTTCCTATGGAATTGCAAATCCCTGAACACTTCGGGTGACCAAGCAACACCATCCCAGACTTGGGTGGTGTTTCTTCATCCGGTACTCTGGTCTTGTTCTGAACCCCCACACCCACAATTTTAAGCTTTCCAAAAAGGGTAGTTTTAAGTATAGCTATACTTATCTGTTGTTAGTTCATTAAGTAAAATTATCAAAAGTTTTCCTATGCTTGAAAGTAGCACTCCGAAGTGTGCTTTTACATCTTGATTTTATCTCGCTTACTGTATTTTCTTTAATTAGTTTGCATGAAATGACCACAGGTCTCGCACAGCTGTTTGTGCCGTTTTTCTTGCTTGAGCAGTACTGTATTCCAAAAACACAGAATTGCCTGTTGGTCATCAGATTCCTCTTTCCTGTGGGGGAACCCAAGTGTTCCAGGGATGTGCTCCAGAGAAACGTTTGACCTGTACTGCTCCAAGCTTCTCCTGCATCTTAGAGTAGCTAGCTTGTTTGGTCTGGGCATGGTGGCTGGAAGACTTTGATTTTTCCCCGCCCCAAAGAGCTGCACAGTAGAAAGAGCCAGGGGATCCTCCAGTTTCCAGTCGTAGCTTAAGCTTCTGCATTTTTAAGCTGTTCAGTTAGCAGGCAACTGGTAACGAATGCTTTGTTACCTATATTCCACAGGCTAGTCGTCCCATAGATGAGGACTCTGCTAGTATCCCATATAGAAGCCAGTAATACATCTCCATTCATCATGAACCTTCATTTTAACTTACCAGACTTCTTGTGTTTGAAAACTTTTAAAGATGTGTTTGTAGGTTTGATTGCAAAAGATGGTGTAATTGCCTATTTGTGCATTACTGCAGTGTTCTGTTGACTGCTGCTGCTGAGTCATACTAACGTCAGCATTATAAGACTGTGAGGTGGGCATGTGCTTACAATCCAGACCCAGCGAGTCCTGACTAGGAAGCCCCATTGTGTGATCTGTGGATTGTTTCCAACTCGAGACGGAGAGTGTGGTGTTTGTAATGGGTTTGACTGTACAGACAAACAGGTGGGGTTAGGAGTGTGCAGATGATTTCCTACAGAACCCGGACACTTCCTGTGCATCGGACTGCAGAGCCGATCCTGATCGCAGTGAAGAGACGGGTCCTGCAGGGGTTTTAACAGTGCAGTGTCCCGGGGAAGGGGGAGTGGATCATAGTTCTGTAGTGGCAGAGCGCTCATAAGCAACCTCAAAAATGCAAATCATAATTCCCTTCTGCTTAATTCCTCCTTAGCAGAGTGCAGTAAAATTACGTTGGGGTGTTTTTTGCCGAATTTGGTTCAGTTTCCACCCCCCCTTCCTGACCTTTCATATTACAAGAACTTATGATGCCTTAAAGGAGAAGTGGGTGTAGCCCCAGCAAGATGCATTTTTCTTCTGCACACTCCTCTAGAGAGAAGGGGAGGGTGGATGGGAGAGGGAGGGAGCGGGGAGTCTGTAGTCCCCTACAAGAAAGAATTGTTTTCAGAGCCCAGCACACTGCAGTAGAACAGGATCATGTTCAGCATGTTTGTTTTTTCCCTTGCAGTGTGCCCCGATATCTTACCCTCTGGAAGCAATCGCCCCGCCCCCTCCTTTTTTAAACTGATGATCGGAAGGTTTTAAAAGAGAACAATGCTCATTTCCCCACGTGGTGCGTTAACTACTTGAAAAGACCAACACACACTTCAAGCATGGCCCTGACCAAGTTTAAGAGGAGATCGCTTATCAAAGCTTTCAGTCGTCCTTACTGTATTATTTTAGTATTATTATGTAGCTTCCTTCTGGCTCGTGGTATTAAAAGGACTTATTCGAATTCTGTTGTAAAACTTGAACACTATTAGAGAGAGTACCAAAGATAGCCTAGTGATGGCTGTCTCTAAAAGCTTGTTAGCACTGGATAAAATTTGCACAAAACAGTTAAAAGCAGGCGTTTCTGCTTCCGGACAGACACTAGCTTTCTGCAGCTGCTGATAATGTTTGCTGCCTTTTTACATTGACAAATAATTGCTGCATTAGTGGTTTTCTTTTTGTTTTGAAAAATTTTTCCATATGTGCTGAGAGCAATAGTCACAGATAAAGCCTTCAAATTCTTAAGTGTTACTTTGCTGTTACGGTACCCTTTTTTCTTGAAATGTGCACTTTTTTTGTTAAGAAGGAGGAGTGTGATGAGGTGTCAGTTGACACCCAATTAATTTAAATCTTAAATTAAAAAGTATTGTCTGAAGTGTAGTGAAGTGTTTGTTAAACTGGAATATGCTGTTTACTGTTTTTAAAATGACCAAAGGTTATTTGTTTTTATGACTGCTATAATTATAAATGTTATGGTGACTGCTATGATTTCCTTCAACGTAAGTGTCTTTCATTTTAATTATTGGAGAATGCCAGGCAGCCATACTGGAAAAGATTGCTTTTCACGACTTCCTGAAAAAATATCAAATAAAATTAATCAGAAGTCTGAATTCAGGGTGATATAAATGACTTGAAAACTGACATTTCTCTTCAGACACCAAACCTGCAGTTTTGATATCTTCAGTAGTGCGTTTGCATTCAGAATGTCAATTGAAATAGTCCAAAATTGGCCAATTTGTACTCCTCTCAAAAAAAGAGAGAGAGCGAATGCCTCTTGATGTGAAATCTGTCATATTCGGGCGTTGAGCTGAACAAATGAGAAACTGGGGAACCAACCTGCACGACGTTCCACACTTTGGTTTTGTGGTGTAGCGTAAATATAGGTCACACGGTGGCCAACAATGTACTGTAAAAAAACCTCCCTTTGCTCTAGGAATCATTAAGGACTGACTTAAAGATGATTTTTTATGGTTGTCCATTCTTTGAACATTTTGCTTGCATAGGAGTGGATGAAATGGGGCATTCAAATGAATTGCACTTTAGAGATGCTTTACGCATAAGCGACGGGTGATGTCCAGAGGTTCTTTACTTCCGCCAGGGCAGACGGCTGATTGGTCGATTCCCTTGGGGGCGTGGCTCACAGCTGCTCACGTGATGCTGGAGTTGGGTGCTTTTCTGGGTGGCTCACAGCACAGTGCAACTAAACTGTGAGCTTGCAGCTATTCCACTGAGACCCGGGTCAGAGCTCAGTTGCTGGCATTGCAGCCTTGCAGTCAGGATTGAGCAGACGGCCAGGCACTGGACAGTTTTGGAACGACTGTTGTCCTCATCGCTTTGTCCTTAGACGGGCCACTTTGCGATTTTGCCCATTCTAGATTGGGGCTATAATAAAAACCTTCACCCAAAGGTGGAAGGAAATCTTTACAAGTCCTGTTTTTTTTTAATTGGAAGCATTGTTTTGTCCGTTCTGATCGCAGCTCTGGTTCTGCCTTACTCTTTCAAGTTAACGTTGCACAGGACCTCTTTTTGTTTTTTAAAGTAAAATCGAAAACCCTTCTAACCTCATGGTCTGGGGCCGAACAGCAATATGTGTGGCGTATGGCAAACGGTTGCACTATGTTTGGTGGCTTTTTGTGATTTTGTTTCTTCACGCACGGAGCTGGGTCTCGTGTTGATAGAACAGGACCCGCTCTCCAATGTTTACAATGCAAACTCAGGATCAGTTACTTTAGTGTGGTTCTGTTTACGCGTTGGTTAAAATTTTTCACTCTCTCCCCCCCCCCTCCCCCCCTCCACACCTTCGAAATGCCAGAGACTGCAGGGTTGTGTGTGTGGGGTGTGTGTGCCTGTCTCGAGAAGCCTTGTGTACACCACTTGTGAACTGCTGTGTTTTAGCATTGCTAATCAACGGCGTGTCCAGCTCGCTTGCAAGCTCCTTCAGTTTTATGGCACGGCATGCCTGCAGCAGAGGATTTCCCCAATCCCAGGCCAGCTGTTTCTACAGCTCCACAGGACTGTCTCTGTGCCCGCTGGCTCTGGTTGGCAGTACAGCTCAGCCAGTTGGTTGGTGCATTTGAGCTTGAATCCAGGACTGCACATGTACCGCTCGGTGCACTTTTTCCTCTTAAGTGGAGACTTATACTGTTTTTTTTTTTTTCTTTTGAGATTTGTAAGCTTTACAAAACCCAAGGACCTTAAGCAATCCGACACCAGGCAGTCCTGATCACTTGCACCTGTTAACTTCCACCCCAGTTTAGCAATATTACCATCCCAAAGGTTCCGTCGGTGTCGCTATTCGCTGCTTTCTGACCTCCCCTGGCTACTTGCTGTAACATCTGATCTTCTTTTCTGCCATTTTTCCCCATAGGAAAGTCTTCCAGTTTCTTTATATTTGAGGGTATCACCGGTGACATCTTTCATCCTGCAAAAAGCGTATCAGAATGCAGGATTAACATCCTGTCTCTCTGTTATTAAGTCCCTTCAAAGAGCTTAATTTGTCTTGGCCATTGACCAAGAAGTGACTTAACACACCCCTTTACTGTTCGTGGCAATGTGGTAACTAAAGCACTTAAATGGGGGGAAAAGCTATGATTTTTGTTTTGTTTTTTTGGTGCTAATTTCTTCATAACTGCCAGGGCCCGCTTGATACGATGGATTTCTTTAGATTTTAGTTTGTTGTAATTCCAAACGTTTTTGGAGATGAGCAGAAAAATCTGACATCCTGAAGGACTGAGTCGGTTTTTTTTTTACTTGAAGGGTTGTCTCTTATTTGTGTGCTTGTCTGAGTGTGTGTATGTGTGTGTGTGTGATTTTGAAGGCCAGTATATTAGCTGTTCTAAAGTTTGTGTTCTTCGTGGTGTTGCCTGTGTTTTGGCACTTTTGTGTTTTCGACCGGATAAACTGTAACTGTAATCATCCTGCTAACGAAAATCCCAGAACTACTATAGCTTTAAGAAATTTTAATGATACTGGCGTTAACTCTGTCACTCTGCCCATGTACCAGAACTTGGGATACTAATGTGAAGGTGGTGTTTTGGGGTACTTGGATTGAAGTCTGGGTAGGAATTCACTTTTAACTCGGTTGGGTAATGGAACAGTAGGCGATGTCTAGTTTTGCGTTTCAAGTTCCGTTTCTCAGCAGCTGGTGAACAGGTGGATTTCCAGAATGCTGAGATGGAGGCCAGAGGGTTTCCTTCTTGCCTTCTCTTCAGGGGGAATTCCAAAGATTGACGCGCAGTATAATGACAGAGGCAGAACTGTAGCTGTTCATCATACACAGGAGGACCATCCCCATCTTGATTACGAAAGCCCCAAAGCCTTCATGAGCATCAGTCGGCCGTGTTTCGAGCACCATGTGGCTAAGCCTCCGTGTCATCCTAACAGAGAACTAATGGGTGTCTTTAAGCAATCTTTCCAGTATGGCTGAGAACCTGGGTGTTGAGGGGAGACCTCAATGTTGCAGAACTGTCAGTGGTTCCTTATCCCCCCTCCCCTCTCCCAAATGTTTTGAAGAACGCTGCTGCATCAAACAGAACTTTTCATGTCATATTTTTTTTTTCAAGTGACAATCAGTATCGTAAGGGCTTTTATTTCTCAAAGAAACACTTTATTTATTTTAGCGTTGCTGCACAAGTGTCTGTTTCGGTTTTTAGAATTTTTTTTTTCCTCTCTCTCTCTCTCCTTAAAAACTTGGAAGACTGTCCGGGGCCATGTCAAGTGTGTGTTGCGTCTGTTAACCCCTTCCCCAGTGGAAACCCCCTCTGATTTCGGACGTGTTCTGTTGACCAGCATTTCCCTGCTCAAGTTTACACTGAATACGACCGACGCCTGCGTCTGGGCAAAAAGCTTTGACTTGACATCCTCACGGCTGTTAACCTTTCATTCGACCCGCAGGATTGTTCTCTTTTAACGGAATGTTGTACACATCAACAGCACAGCTTGTTACTACTAAGAGTAATATTCGTAGTACTCAAACAATTAATCTTGCGGTAGTTCGCGGAGTGAGATTGTTTTTGGTTCCCTGGTGCGTAAATGTGAGGGCTGAGGAGGAACCGGGGCGTGAAAATGCAAAGCTTAACTTGCGCCGTCGTGTGGCCAGTACTGGGATTTTTTAAAATGGTTTCACAAGGTCTTTTTAATGTTGAATTTCACAGCCTTTAAATCGATATCCTTTACATTATGTAGGAATAGCGAATGCCAAAATAGTGTCATTGTTATTCCTCATTTGTATGGTACTTAAATATGCTGAAAATGATTGTATTAAGCTACCTGAGCATTTTTTTAAGGTTGTTACGTAGCCTTTTTTGATGTCAGAAAGGGGCGAGTTTAGGAGACGAGACATCGTGAGAATTTAAGCCATTTGACGGTGAAATTGTCGAATTGGAGATTAGTTTTAGGCTTTCTTTTCCATAAGCGCAAAGTCACATTTTTGTTGTTGTTGAGTGACCTTGTGACATTTCATCGACGAGGCCGAATCTGAGAAGGAAGCTGAGGGTTTAGTTTGGGCAGGCAAAAAAAAAAACCCTTTAAGAGTGTGCAGTTCCCTTTAAGAGTGCCGCAGTCTGTCGGCATGCAGCGGTCTGTGACCAGGGAGGTAATACCCATGAAGTAAAGGATGGCACGTTGTATCCTACTATCCTACTAAGTAACTTTTTTTTTTGCCCGCCCAGTTACCGATAGGGAGTTTGGATTTGCGCTGTAGTCAGGGGGCCATGCGAAGCCGCTAAGCTTTTCAGAGTTGAAAACAATACAGATTTGCAAGTGTATGAATCGTTCCACTCAGCCCTGATCCAAAGCACTTGGTCAAAAAAAAAAAGCACTTTCATACTTTTCAAATATATATGCATATATATGTATGTGTGCGTGTATATATTCTAATAACAAAAGGGTTAAAATCTCCTAAGCGGAACCTTAACGAGAGAAGAGAGGGCGAGAGGGACGTAGCCAAGAGATGCGGAGAGGCGTCTCTTGGGACAGATCGATACAGGGGGGGAGCGCACACGTGCCCGTCACAGTACGCGGGGGCACGTGTGCGAGTAGCACAAATACATTTCAGATCAAAAAGTGTATTTGCACTGCCATTCATTTAAAGAAGAGTTGCCAAAAAAAAAAAAAGATTTTACTGAAGAGGGAAAATAAAGACAGGACAACTCAACTGAGCCATAAAGTGATTTGCTGACATAAACTGAATGTATGGTCCATTATGCGCAGTGGTAGGAGTAGTTTGGTTATAGACTATTATGATATTGAATCTAATTGCATTGTCAATATATAAATGAATTTTAAAAAGGCAGCAATTTCCCCTACCCTAAAAAAAGGGATCTAGATGTCTTCCTGCGACTGGACAGTGCGCCCCTATTCTGAAATATCGGGGGTTGCGGTTAATGTCCATTTTTTTCAAGCTGTTTTGCTGGTTTTTTTTTTATCCTGGGCCTCCGTCGCTTGACCGTTTCAGTCCAGATATAAACTCGAGCATGTTTTAGGAACAGTGAAAATGTCTGGGCCAATCATTTAATCTTAGTGCTCAAGTCTTATTGTATTCAAATCAGCACAATCTTCATATTGATGAAGGCTTTTTTTTAAAACAAAGACTTACCTTAATCCCGGATGCGCTCAGATAGTTAGCTTTGTTGGGACAGTGGGTGTCCCATGACGTGACCAAACACAAACGGAAATTCAGCGCAGAAAACTTGATTGCGATTGCCTTAACAGGTCTTTAAAGTTCTCCAAGTCACTTGAAGGGTGATTTAAATATATGACAATTTAAACAATACTCCAGTATCTCAACCACCTACCATGTTAACAAACCAGTCTCTATAAAGTGCCATAAGACCCTTAGTTATTCTTTAGAGACGTCTTTGCTGTCTCCTGTCTTTTATTTGACGTGTCTTTTGAAGAACGTGCATAAGGAATCTCTAACTTTTGGGGAGTGCAGTTTTTTTGCAGGAAATACGCAATAGCGGAGATCAGCAGGCTTTCAGAAGGTATGCAGTATCACAGGCAAAGTTTACACTTGTGATTAATGTCCTTGATTGGTTCAGACTACCAGGCTTTTCAGTTCCAAAAGAGGTGGGAAATGTTAATTTTGGAGCAGGCTCTGACTATGTAATTCTATAGCAGAGAACCAGGGCTCGTTCAGACATTAAACTTGATTTCAGAGCTGATTCAGATTACAGGCAAAAGCAATCGCCAGTAGATGACATTGGCACCAAGTGACGTCATGTTGCACAAAAGGGTGGGGGGAGGGTCCAAAAAAGGCATAAAAAATCATTTAATCTTTAGAGACTCAGACATTTAAGTTCAGGGTTGAGTTTTTGGGTGAAGCAAGGCAAGAGTTTTGTTGTTTCTTTTCTCAGTTCAGATTTGGTTAATCTTTCCTGATTGTATATCCGCTTCCGTCATCAGTTTTGGCTTTTCAGATCCAGCTGCCACCACAAGAAATGATCAATTGGAGGGGTGTTTGACAGCTGCAGCTCTTCGTGGGCAGCTCCGTGGCAGCATTTGTCTGTGTGAAAGTTCAGTCGCCCCCTTAAGCAGTTAACCGGTAATTAGTTGGGTCAGCGTAGCAGTTAAAGTGCTGGTGGTTCAAGTACCGCAGCAGAGTGACTTAGAAGAGACCGTTCTGCAAAGCTGGGAGATGGACTGTAAACTCGGGGCACTTGAGGTGTGGGGCACTGTCACCAGTTGGGCAAGTGGTTAACGCAGCCCCATTAAACAGTTGAGGGTTCTCATGCTCGTTACAGCATCTTGGCAGATATGGGTCTTTGCTCGTTGTTCCTGGTTTTCGAAGGGAATCTAAAGGCAGTTTATTAGCGTGCACTGGTGACTGTGGCGAGCAATGCTAGCAGGTGCAGAAACGGAGCCAGGTGTTGCTCTTGTCAAATGTGATCTTTGTCTCTCTTGTCTGTTTCGGTAGGAGTTGCAAGATTAAAGTTCATTCATATTCTTCTATGGGTAGCTAGTAAGCTAGTAAGCTGATAACATTGCTCTGAGAAGAGTGTTCCGTTTTACCTCCGTGGACGTCCGAGTCCCTTACTACTTGAAGATGCATGTGTTCTGAGGCAATAGCAAATCAGCCCCATTGATCTGCTGGGCTCAGCAGCACTCTGCCTTAAAGCTGGGTTAAGGAATCAACCATGTTCAGATGTTCACAAATATACCTTAAGTCTGCTTTTAAATAGTGATTTTAAAGTTGTTAATGTTTGGCTGCAATACTGGACAAAGAGCTTGTTGGACAAGATGGCATGCTTTTTAAAAAAAAAAAACATTTATTGCAGAGCGGGTCTGTCCTGAGGCACAGGACAGAACTTGGAAAGCTACTAACGCGTTGCCTTGTAAATTGTAATCTGTATATTTTTCGGAATCTCAAGTCCACGGTCCATTTGTTTGTGTATTTAGTTTTGAATTTCCCTTTGCTGTGATCTCTTGGTATAATGTTGGTCCAGAGAAGTCCAAGTGTTAGGATGTGGCGCTTCTGTGTGGACAAAGGTCAGAATAATTCTCTCATTGTGTGCGTCTTTGCTTTCCTGAAAGGTTAACACCATTTTTCTCCTAAGTAGTCCTCAGTAAATCCCTTCTTTCTGTCTGTCAAGGGCAGTGATGTTAATTTAAGTGATTTATCATTCTGCCGGGTGATTGTACTGTAACTGCATTGTGTTTTTTTTGTAGTTTGAGCTTAATGCTATATGCATGTGAAAAAGTAAGATTGCATTCCTTTTCATATCATGGCAAAATAATTTTTACGATTATGATTTTCGAGAGTTTTCAAAACCCTGCTGCGTGACAGAAGACCCACTGTGACCTCTGTTCTGCTTTTATTTCCATGTGCACTATACGGCTCAGGACACTGGGGGGTGATCCCAGAGTCGTTTTTTTTTTAAAAAAAGGTCAGTATTCAGGCCAAATAAGACGTTCCTCCATACCTCAGTTGACATCTTTCAGACAGATCCGCTTCTCTAACGTTACTGCCTCAATGCAGACAATCACCTTGATGACTCAAAAGCACGTGAAGCATCCCTCTGCCTTCTTTCATTAAAGTGCTGCCCGTTGCTAAACCACTGCATAGTGGACGTTGGGCAATAGTGCTTGATCTCCGATTTGTGATTTCCATCAAAAACATGGGGCGGTTAGGGGGGAACAGTTACTTATCGCTTTCATTTCTCTTGGTGTTCCACAAGGAGAAGATCAGTTCCAAACTCTGATCATAGGCACAGCCTTTTTCCCAGGCCTTGAGCACAGAAGTTCATTTTGAATGGGCGGGGGAGTGTAGTGTAGCTGTTTTGAGCAGAGCTATTTGGCCTGTAGCACTTTGCAACTCAACATGCAGTTCGTCTCGTGTCGGTAATGGTGTGAGTCCTCACTAAAAATTCTTTGAGTTTTCGATAGACTTGCATTTTATTTCACTCAGCCTGGATGGCCCGGAAGCAGCTGTGCTAGCCTTGAGGAGAAAGAGCTTTGGTGTTTGTTTTTGCACAGAACGTGTGCCAGTAGCACCTCCCCAACACTTTGGTCAAGAGAAGAATTTTAATTTTTAATCATTTTAAAAATATATATTTTCTTTTAAGTCTCAAAAGCCAGTGTTTTTGTACACTGTTCACCTTATTTGGGAAGCTGTTTCAATACTGACAGTTTTATTCTTCTGTTCATTGCATTGGTCAAGGGCTTCTTCTTGTCTCCAGCACTCTAGAAACAGTGATTTAGAGCACATTCAAGGAAGAAACAGGTCAGTTTTGTTCAAGGAATGCTGTAGCTCCCATTGCAGTTGGATCCAGTTCAGAATTGTTTGAATTGCATGTCTTTACATCATCCAGCACCTAGCACTGGTTATTTCTTTGGCATGTTTTTTTTGCAAAGATGCAAGAAGGCAAAGTGGCATTGCTTCTCTGCCTGCAGTGGGTGCAAGAGCCTGCAGCTGTTAAAACCTGAAGCGGACCACCTTGCTATGCCACAGGAGTCCTGTTTCGCTGCCTCTTTCGCCTTCTGCATTAGGAGGGCTCCAAATGAAGGGTAACTTTTTTTCTGCACACAGTAGTATCATATCTTGGTGTATTTCACATTTATGGTTTTAGGAGATTTGAAAGCAAAAGCCTGCTGGAAGTTGCATGCTGGGTAGTTTGTCGGTCAGGATTCCCTCATGTCTTTTATACCACGTTGTGTGCTGAAAAAAGGATCATGGCCCTTTAGGTCAGATAGGTTGAAATTCCAAGCTCATCTAATTATTTTACAGTGGAATTGCAAACCTTGGGATACTCAAGTGTCATCTTTAAGGGCAGACACCGGATCGGATGGATAAGCATCTTATGGAGAGCCAGGACAGTCCTCCTGATGTGCTAGGGAGGAGCTTCATTTCCGGCGTGCAATGCAATAACAGAGGAGAGTGGCTTGACTAGGATCTTTGAAAGGTTAAAAATAATGGAAGCTTTTTATGTTGGGGTTTTTTTCCCCCCCAAAGAACTGCATGTCATTATATCAAAAAGGTAGTCAGATTGAACCTGAAGTGTTATCAGTTTTTGGCAGTGTGCATTACGAATCTACCTGCCGTTTAGGGCAAGGGATCCAATCTCTTGTCTGGGATTTCTAGTAGTCTAGCTGGTGGTGTGCAGCTGTATCTTCTGTTCTTGCTGTAGCTACAGTAGTGTGCCGTATCTTTATTAGTCTGTACTAGCCTTTAGTAAGCCGTCATCTCATTGTAGGTCCCCGTGTCTGATGTCTTCTAATGACACTGCAACTGCAGCATTAGACCTGAGACCCGCAGGAATGGGTGGTAGACAGTGCAATAAGTGAACAGCCCTTCCTCGCTGACCAGCTTGTAGAACGTAATACTACAGCAAAAAAAAAAACCTCATCAATGTCTTTCAACAAAAGCAAGATCACCTCAGCTGGTTTTGCACAGTGCTGATGCCCCTCTAAAACAGTGGGGTTTGGTTTAAGCAATTATCTTGTGTTTTAGGCTTTTTCAGGAACATTGACCTCTGTAGAGGTGTCTGTAAAACATCAGGCACTAAGAACCAAAACCTTTTCATGGGAGGTGTGTGATCTGACCTTGCACATCTCTGTGTCATATTTTGTTTGTTGTAGGAGGGGGGGGTCCCTCACACACACACACACACACACACACACACACACAGAGCGTGCACCAGCATTGGATGAAAATGCCTCACTGAAATAGGCCCTGTTTAAACCCAGGCCATCAGCAGTGAGCACATGACTGTATCCTGCTGGTCCCTGCCCAGTTGGACCAACCCACCACGATCACCGACACTGGCAGATTCTTGGCAACCAGAAGGGTTGATCGGCACAATAGAAACTCCCAAGTCCGTCACTTGTAAGTTCGTTTATGGGAACAACTGTAAACATCTTCCGTTTATCCATAGTCTAACCAGCATGGGAGCTACATGGCAGAACTCTCCAGTTCTAGAGTGATATTCATGTGATCTTTAGTAGGAAACCTTTTAAGATTAGTAGGATCAATTAAGTAAATGTATTAGTTGGGTCACAGTCCCTGGAAAGGGAGCAAAGGAGCCTAGACAGCCAGCAAATCCTTTAAAGCAGTGAAAATATCTTTTCACTGGCAGCTTTTCGATCCAAAGACCTCTTACAGATGCTTTTGGAAGTATTCCAGTGAATTCTCTTCCAGTGTGTTGCACTCCTCCACGATGTAAAAACATATGCAATCAGTTTCGCTACCCAGGCTCCTTGGAAAGTGTCTTGCAGCTGGAGGTGGATGTGTTCTTCAGAAATCGGTGGTAGATGCTGCGCTCTTTTGTGTTTTAATTCCGAACCTTGAGTGTCGCAAAGCATCTGTAGTATTTGAAATGGCAAATTGAACATTTTCAGAGGCAGCGGATAGGTATGACAGGTTCTGGGTTGGATTCCAGTCTAGGGTGCCTTGTGTGTGGAGTTTGCATGTTCCCATGTTTCTGTGTGTGTGTGTGGGGGGGGTTTCCAGGTGCCCCAGTTGTGTGTGTTTGCACATATATCCACTGATGCACTTGTGCCCTGTGGCTCCCGGTTGCCAGGATTAAATAGATTCAATCATCAATGGAGGCAGCTATTCAGAGAGGAACCCTGGTGCTCGTACTGCCAGTTCACCATCCAGTGTTGAAAACTTTAGTTTTTTCCTCCCACCTGGTCAATATGCACCCCCCCCCCCAGTCTATGCTGTTGTCCTAGTGTGCATCTGCACCCTGTTTTTGGTTTTTGGTTTGCAAGTGTCTTCTGTGGTCGAGACAATAGTAACAAGCATAAGAACGGGAGGTGGCTGCCTTCCCCCAGTAATCCACCTGGTGATCAAGCACAGGAGGTCTGGAGTGCTCTACACATTCCGGTTGTCTTTTGATCAGTGTTGTTGCGCATGTACTAGGACTGGCCTTGAGTTTGCTTCAGAGCAGGGCTAGAAGAGGACTGTGTAGCCCGGACCTTTAACAGTGCTGCTGCTGTCAGTTTCTGGTGGTCCTGGGGCCAGGTGGGCTGCAGAGGACATACCAATATACCAGAGAGCCGCCCTGTTTTCACAGTGGGCACGGGTGACGTCCTGCTCAAAAGAGGAACAAAAAATGGAGTGGATCGTCGTGTTATTACGGGTCACAGGCTTAAAACGCCACAGGTACTCTGTTTCTTTTGGCGAGTTTCGAGGGTTTCTGTGCGGACAGGTTTCTCTTTGTCGACACGCACACGGAGGGACAGGCGTACATACGAGGCAGCTAAGCGTGTGGTAACAGAGAGAGACTGCGTCAGGAATGTTTACTGTGCGTCCGTCACGAGCGCGCACTACTCTGCCCGTTTACAGTTTTGCAAAGTCCCCAGGTGGCGGAACACTACTTAACATTCCCTTGGTCCCCTCATCCGATGAGGGCGAGCGGAGAGCATTTGGCTTGGGTTTGGAGCCTTGAGCTGCAGGGTGTGTGGAAAGCAGGCAGAGCCTCATATGCGCGGTGCTTTTCGTCGGTCTGGGTTCCTGGAAGAACATCTCTGTGGTAGGGACTTCAATGGGGCATCATAGGAAAGCTCTGACTAGATGACGTTAGGCAAAGGTTTTGCCTTAAGAGCACCATAAGAACACTTTTTATGTTGTAGCTTAGAACGGGCCAGGAGTACAGAGTGCACTAATGACTTTGCAGATCTTGTGATGAATCTCCAAGTACAGCAACTCTCTTGGCCTCAGTTCCTAGAGGCACTGCTTCTATATGCTAGATGGGACTTCGAGACAAGGGGAAATGAATTGGACAGGGGAAATAACTGAATGGGGGGGGCGGGGGAGAAGCTAGTCCCACCCTTTTGTGGCCACTAGTGTGTGTCTGTGTGTTTGTGATTTAGCCACGCCAGATGGACCAGGTTTACTTACTGAGCACATGTTTTGTGACCTTCCAGCGCACTGCTGTCTCCTGGGCTGGCTGTTCACAGTCACTACAGCGGGTTGAGCACATGTTGCCTTGCACAGTCCTCTCAGCACCGGCGAGGAGCCAATGAGCACACGTTGATTTTTGCCTGGTCTGGCCTGTCCAAGCAAAACCGAATCTGCACATATGTGAGTTTACAGGGATCGCGGCGAGAAGAGCAGTGCCTCTTGGATCTCAGGGTCCAAGGGAGCTGGGTCCCGGTGGGCAAATGGGATTGAGTAGCGGCTGGAGATTCCGAATCCCGACCGGGGACGGAAATAGAGAGGAGGGGAAAAAACACAAACCTTTATTGTTTAGGGGATGCATGCTGAATGATCTTATTTTCCAAAGCTGGTTCAAGGTTTTCCTTAATCGGTCTGTTGACATTTCCCCTTCAATTCATTTGCAAGTCACGTTGTTTTTCACAATTTTAGATCTGTGAAATTTGCTAGTCAAAAAAAAAAGTTTAAATCTTTTTCTTCCAGCTTTGGTAAATCAGGCACTCAGTCCAAACTGTAGCAGAAGAAATGAACAAGTAGCACCTATAGCCTATACATATATATATATTAAATCCAGGGCATCTGATGTCCCGTTACCTCATAGACATAACTGTAAATACAACCATCTTACTGCCAGAACACGCGACACAGTTCCTCCCAGGCTCCTGGGTCTCCAGCCTACAAACACAGGGCTATCCCCATCTTTTCCATTCAAGATGAAACTTCTCAAAACAGGAGGCCAGTGATCGAATGCTACTACAAATGCTGTAAACCTAGTATTCCTATTCTGGTTTATTGTTGTTACTATTATTATATTATTCCTACCTCCACATTTTACAGCTCATCAACGTATCCAGCTGATATCCATCTGTATTAGCAAATATATATATAAATAATATAGCATCTTACCATCTTCAATGAGGAGAAAAGTATGTTTGAGTGTATGTGTGTGTTCTATGGAAATATTTATATATATATCTATATCAAATACCACTGGAATGTGAAGCCAAACTGTATTAATAGTCTCCATTATGGTTCAACAGTAGCATATACATGAAAATTCCTGTGGTGCACTGTTCATTTTTATTCCACCCTGACCTGTTTAAAATGATCAGAGTCCAGTAGGGTACATTGGCTTGCTCCTTTCTTTCAGAAAGCAGAAGTTTTAAAGATTCTCTCCCTCCTCCCAAAACCACAATCGCCACTCCAGTACTTTCTGAAGTGTTGAATATGTGTACAAATTGAGCCATATGTCTCCATTGAAGTTTACAGACCCTCATGTTAATGTGTGTGTGTGTCCGCATGCATGTGTTTGACTTTGGTACACAAGTAACAATGTTTGTCTGCTGGGGGGTACCAGGGGATATCAATTATAAAAGAAATTGTTTATCCAGCCTTCTGTCTTGTCTGCCACGAGATTTGACACCTTAGATAAAACTTCTGTCCTGTTCTCCCCCCTTTTAACCCCCCCCCCCTTAATGGTAAGAGCAAAAGAGGGAAGACCTGGGGGGGGTCCAGGTACCCCCCCCCCCACCCCCCATGCCCCCCGCCCCTGCAGGGAGAGAAAATGTAGTTTGAACGACAACCTGCAAGCCATTCATAATTTTACGTGACAATGCAATCCTGAAAGCACTTTGCCTTGTTGACTCATTTGTGTGAGCTGGTGAATGGTTGTTACAAAAAAAAAGGATGTTACATGTATTTAAAAATAAGAGGAAAAAAAAATGATCTGCATTGGTCTTTCAGACATTAAAGGAAAAAAAGACTTACAACCTAGGCATTCAAACTTGATCTATTTTATACAATGTGTGCTGCAGCCAACGAGTCTTGTAATTCAATATTGTGGCTTAGAATTGGTTATGTTTAAATAAAGTGCTATTGCTTATACCCACTGCTGAGCCATGAGTTCTTTGTTAACCTTTGTTTCTTCACACACAGTACTACTGCACAGCTGGTGGCTCCGAGTCCTGGAGACCCGAAAGATCTTCCCCTGCTATTGTGTTTTACCCAAGCTCCCAGCTGATGAACGTGCTGGGGTTAAAGGACCTGGATGTGTTTGGTTGGAACAGCCAGCCCTGTAAGATCTGCAAGGCTGCATATAGCCTCCCCTGCGCTAGGGTAGTGACACTCTCTTGTGCTGCGGGTGCTGTTGCCCCATCTCTCTCTTCGTTAGCGGTACCCATGCACTGAGCCCTTTCTGCTTCAGGTAGCAGAGTCTTTAAGGCTCGCCCAGCAGGCCCTGGCAGTGCTACTGCTCCTGTGCCCTAATACAGGGTACTTCACCCAGAGCGCACCACCAAGCCCAGATAAAATGGTCAACTTCTGTGTGTACAAAAATAAGTGCAACCCTGATGAGTCACTTTGGATCAACTCAACAAATACTCCCCGTGTTCATGTATTAGCTTATGGGTAATTCTGGGTAATTTTTCCATTGAAGATGTATGTGACTTGGGGGCGACCGTGCTCTTGCTGGTGAGCAGGGCGATGGTCATGACGCACGAGAGGGAGGCGCCTGCTGTGTTGTTTCTTGCACGTCAGGTAAGTGAGCTTTAGCGGGGACGGCGCCAGTGTTGCAGCTTGCCCAAGCGGAGGTCCACATGTCCCAAATCTTGTGTACATTGGTATGGAAAGAAAGGTGGCCTGCAAATGTTTTTTTTTTTAATGTACTAACATTAAATCAGTAGGGCAACCATTTAAAATCCCATCATATTAAATAACAGTACTGACCAAATGAATGTCTTTATGACATGCAAGAGAAATGCCTCTTTCTTCTTGTTTTTAATATTAATTTTATGAAAAATGTAACTTTCATAACTAAACATTATTCACGTTCCGTCAGACACACATACCAGTAAAGTAAACTGGATTTTAAGACGGGAGACTGCAGTTGATTTTTATGTAGAAAACGCCAGCCCCTGAGACGAGCGGTTTTGAGTCTCCTGTTGGGAGCTCCGTGTTTCCGTTTCGGAAAGTCCGATATGTAGCATTTCGTGCTCGACGCGTCCTGCTGCTCAGAAGGCTCCGGGCTCGATGGCGATCTTGTCCTCGAAGAGAGCGATGCACAGCATGAGGGCGCCCCCTGTCAGAAGGCCCAGGTGCTGCAGGAAGAGGCGTGTCAGGGCGTCGGTTGGACCGTGGTCTCCGTGCAGCATCTCGGGCACCTGAGGAGAGCACAGAGGGGGGGGGAGGGTTTCTAGTGGGTAGACGGACAAAGGACTTCGCAAGCAAAGGGCTGCAATGAAGTCGCAGGTATGCATTGTGTCTGGGGATCGGACGAAGTTCTTGTGTAATCCAGACCTAGGGGAAACTGAAAGCACCACGCTTTTCACAACTGAAAACACAACCGTTTGTGCTGATCTGGATCATCGCACACTAACCGCCTGATCACCTGCTTAAGGCCCTGCGTGGCACAAGCATTGCAGGTTTAAGATCCTGCCGAGTTTGTGCCAATTTGTGCTAATGATTGGGCACATCGCGTGGCAGAGAGGCCTGGTTCACAAGTAGGGGTTGAGAAAGTGTATTTTATGGGCAAGAGGAAATGGCTCTGTGAGGCCAAGCGGGCCTCTCTGAATGCTGTTAGCTCTTGAGCACCATGAGGCCAGAGCCTGTGGGCTTGCTGACCCCTTCTGCAACACAAATGCCCTTGCCCCTGGAACATGCTTACATACAAACAGGACTAGTTGGTGGGGAGCCCTGTTGTTTTTCAGACTCACCATGTCGGTGAGTGCCACATACAGGAAGACCCCTGCGGTGACAGCGAACACCCATGGGGAGAGCTGGGAGGAGTGGTGGCTGAGTGCGGCGCCCCCTAGCAGCCCCAGGAAGCCCAGTGCTGCCGAGAGCAGACTGAACACTAGCACCCTGCGCACAGGCCAGCTGGCCCCCAGCAGTACAGCCAGGTCACCTGCAGACAAGAGAGACAGACTGAATGCAGACCAGAACAATACTAGACCAGTCGATCCAGAATTGCTCTCTTCGAGAAGCAGAACAATTCTAGATCTGCTGCTCCAGGTGAATTTGCACAAATCTAAATCTAGTGACCTGGGGAAATTGGACAATTCTTCATCTACTGCACCCAGAGAGATAAAGAGCTAAATACAGAGTAAAATAATAAAACCTACAGAGAGAGGAACCTTTCACAACAGTTACAGACCGATATCCTAAACCTCAACTCGTGAAGAGCTGAAGGCTGCGGTGTCTTTGGGGACTTGTCCCACTTGTCCATATTTCTGATGATTTGATTCGACAAATCGTTTATCACCTCCCGAGACAGGCTTGTGTAATACACCCTCGATTGCCTATCGGGGGGGAGGCTGCAAGCTTGGAAAGTAAAAATTGCTGAAAACGAGGAGGAGGACTGGGTGCGAAGTTGTGATGAAGGCCTTGAGCAGCAGTGCGAAGTGAGTGATCACTCTTCGAACCCCCAGCCGGGAAGGTCAGAGCGAGGAAGCGGGAGTTCGGGCTGGGGAGAGAGTGTACCCAGTTCGTGGGGCAGCTCGTGGCAGAAGACCGCAAGTGAGGTGCTGAGTCCCCCTGTCACGCTCTGGGAGAAGGCAGCTCCTGAAACAGAGGCAAGCAGAGCAGGCTTGAGTAGTTGGACTTTACAAGTGGGGTTTGCTAACTGCACCTTCTCGGTTATTTCTAATGGATCTTCTGCACCCGGAGATCGAAGATCACAGTGCTGAGGATACTCAAGCCGTCCCAGGCCCTGCAGGAATCCTGGTCATTGGTCATAGCCAGCTGTAGTAGCCTGGACTCTCTGCATCATGTGCAGGTGCTCATTCTGAAATTTGTAACACAGCTCTTGGGAGATTAAAAATAAATCAATTTCTTGCCCGAATCAGAATATGCACGTAGATACAGTAGGTCAGCCCAGATGTCAGTATGTATGATCACTGTCGGTGATCAACCTGCACCAAGACTCCTTACCAATGGCCAGTCCATCAGTCAGGTTGTGAATCCCATCTCCCATGATCACCATCCAGACCAGACTAGCAATCCCAGCATTCCCCTGGGCCGGGCCGCCGTGTGAATGGGCGTGTCCTTGCTCTGCCTGGCCCTGGCTCTCTGGGGATGAGCAGAGGATGTAGTGTGACACAGTAGTCCAGGCGTATGGATTCCCATGTCCTACTTCTGTGATGGTGGTAGTTAGTCTCTTTTGCTTTCAACCTCAGGGAGAGTACTTTTGTGTTTGAAAAGGAACAAGTAAAGGTTTATTCCATGCTGAAAAGAGAACAAAAAAAGCTCCACAGCCGAAACGTTCTCTCTCCAGCATGGAATAAACGTTTACTTGTTCCTTTGCAGCCTACGCATCCTGACGCAGCTCCCTACTTGAACTACTTTTTTTGTGTTTGATAACCTGATGCATTGTACTTGGATGATGCATTTCTTTGCCCATGTGATGGTGTCTGTCCTTCCTGGAGGCCAAATCCATCTATCAAGACTAGTCCCTTCTAAAGTTTTGAATGTTTGATCCTCTTACACTCCCCTCTGACTTGTTACCACATCACAAAAAGAATGACATTTAAAAAAAAAACGACCCATTTTCTGAATGGAAATCTCAATTCTAAAACTAATTTCTAGTGTCTAAACCAGAAAATAAATTCTCAAAAACCAAACTTATTTCAACTTTGCCCAACGTCCACTCATTTCTTACAAATGAAGAACTCTTATTTATTTTAAATATATTTGTATGAATTTCCCCAAAAGTTAAAGGGCTAATACATCTTTTAAGACATTCCCCAGTTTGTTTTATTGCAAGTGGTCACCATGAAAGTATATTTGTGTGTAATGAGAACTGGAGAAACCCCTACAATACCTGTTTCCCCAGAACACCCATACAGTGAGTAACATCATCGCATTTCCATGTGAGACTGTGGTTGTCACCATTGGTCAGTGAACCTGTGTGCCCTCACCCTGCAGTGCCAGCTGCTCTCTCTCTGGCGCCCCCTCTTGGAGAGAGCCAGAATGCTCCCTCTTCTTGGTGTTCTTTCTGTGAGCCTGAAACACAATGGAAAACCCACAGGGAACCAAGAATTACTGAAGTGTCTAGTAAGAGGGACAGTGACAGACCTTAGAAATGGGGGTCCAGTTATGAGGCCCCACTGTCTTCTATTTTTTGTTCCTGATAAGCTCTTCCTTTACGCATTTAATTGAGCCCTTTTTCTGAAACAATAACTTGGTTAATGAGGACTTTTCAGCTCTTAAATTGCTGTAGTACTTATTATAACAAGATAACATTTTATAAGTACATGTAAATATGGATCATCCTGAGCACCTGAAACCAGCAAGTTTAATTAAGCCACAGAGAAACTCGTCAGGAATGAAGTCCATCAGGAACAGGGTCCCCAGGTTCGAAACCTTAGTTGCATTGATTAATCCGGACACTCGTGGGGTCAGTTAATGTGCCGACAGCTCGGACAGAAGACAAACCAAAAGACCCTCCAGGGTCTCCCCGGGAGCAGAGCTGGAGGAAACAAGGCTGAGCACACACAGCGCTGGAGTCTGCAGGCCTGGTCCGGGAGACACACAGTCTCTCTCACTCCGATTCCATTGAGCTCTCAGCAACTTCACTGGACCAAATGTTAGCTTACCTACTACAGGTTACCATGTTTTCCAGATCTCTACTTGCTTTCACAGCCAGACTCTTTTGCTTTATTTAAATGGATCTTCTGCTCTTATTCTTCAGCTAGTAGACTCTCATGTTATTTTCTGCACTTCATCAGATCACCTGCCCCCCCGCAGTCCCCTCACTTACCCTGCGGTGGCGCTGCACTCCCAGAAGACTCTCGACAAGGAAGAGGAAGTACATCCCCCCAAGAGCACACAGCCCCTTCAGCACAGAGTCCTGCAGCTCTGAGGCGGACAGAGACCCCTGCTGTGCCTGAAACACACACACATACCAGGCAAAGGTCTGAGTTCGTTCTCCCTCATAGGAAAACAGAACGACTTCTCAGCTGTTCTTGAGAGATGCCTGCAAAAGAGGCTCATGGGTTATACTCTGTGGCCCTCCTGGATTGTCCTGACACTTTGGCATATTGGTCTCTGGCTCCCACACCCTGCCAGCCCGAGCCCCAGTGAGTGCGCGAGCCGGGTACGTACGTGAGGCAGGAGGTGCAGGAGGGCGTCTCCGCACAGTGTCCCCACCGCCAGGGCACACAGAGGGCACAGCAGGACGCGCAGATGGCGAGGGGACAGGATGGGCACCACGCCCAGAGCCAGGAGAGAGGGTAGACTGATGACTGTGAGTGCCAGGGAGCCCCAGCCCAGAGCTGTGGACACACCATCCAGCAGAGAAACACTGAATTATGCAACAAGCACAAGCCACACAGCCACAGCTTTTCCTTCACAGTACAGGAACTCATTAGGAGTCCCAGTCCACAGCTGTCAGGTGCTTTTCAGGATATACAACTTGTATGTTGTTGTACTGAGGAAGCAGAAAGCAACAGGTTAAATGTTGTCTCTGCACCCCAGTGGAGATGTACTTTAATATTATTAATATTATTATTATTATTAATAATTGCTTACACTTATACAGCACTTTTCTGGACACTCCACTCAAAGCGCTTTACAGGTTATGGGGATCCCCTCCACCACCACCAGTGTGCAGCCCTACCTGGATGATGCAACAGCAGTCAGAGTGAACCAGTACTCTCACCACACACCAGCTATCAGTGGGGAGGAGAGCAGAGTGATGAAGCCAATTCATAGATGGGGATTATTAGGAGGCCATGATTGGGCCAATGGGAAATTTGGCCAGGACACAGGGGTTACACCCCTACTCTTTTCAAGAAAAACCCTGGGATTTTTAATGACCACAGAGAGTCAGGACTTTACATGCAAAAGGTTCACGGTGTCCAATAGATACGAGCTGTGATCATAAATCCTCATTTATTAGCCTTGTTTTTTTTCCAGTGCCCTTACGATTCTTTCTGTGTCCGATGTGCAAAAAAATTAGCTCACGGAAGCAGACATTGCAGAAGATGCTGCATGACTCTTAAAAGCAGAGTTCAATATTTTGATCTGCAAGTCGAAACCCTGCCTGTACGAGGCCATGCTGTCCTTACCCCTCAGGAAAGACACGCCCCCCTCTGATGATGAACGCCCCTCCTCCTCGGGGTGGTGGATACAGACACGGCTGTCAATCTGATACAGTAGGGCGGGGCATAAAAAGGTGAAGTGGGCGGGAGTGATGTAGGACTCCTCCCCCAGACCAAAGTTTCCCAGGAGCTGAGTGACATTCAGGCACTGAGTAAGACAAAGAAGTAGGAAAGGTGATGTGAAAGTGGGAGTGTGGAAGGGTGAGGGGGAGGTGACAGTGAGACATCGGAGACTCGTCAATAATGAATCAATCATGAAAGGATCATGAACACTCAAAATGTAAAAAGAAAAGGTTACCTTGCCAAGGAATGATTAAGAATACATTGTAAATGTGTTCTTATGTGAAAACCTAGGATTTGTGGCAGCTGTAATCCTGTCTGGCTAATAATATGGATGATGTTTGCAGAACAATCTGGACTCATACAGAAAATCAAAAATTCCTGTGGGAAGTATGAATTGGTGTGAAGGGTGGATCGATGTTACAATCAGCGAGCTACCCCAGCCAGGCCACTGCACTATCTGCCTACGTTCACAGCGCAGGTGCAGTTCAAGAAAAACGGGGGCAAGTGTGCTCACATTGCCATGGAGATGGGTCTCTGTTGGGTGATCAAAGACAGCGGGCTTCCCAGAGGTCCCTGGACCTCCAGCTCTGGGGTGGATGTCTGTAGCTATCCCAGGGTGCTCCACTCCCATCCCGCTCTTCTGCAGCCCACCTTGTCCCTCTATGGTGCTGCCAGCAGGCAGTTCCTGCCACACACTCACGTGATCCGCTCCCTTGGACAGCCAGCTCCTGAAAGAGAGCTGAGTGTCACATGAAAATGCCTTACATTTCAGGGGTAGCAAACAACATGGGTCAAGAGGGGGTCTCAGAGAGCAGCTTGCACCCTCGTGCTGGTGGTTTGAGCCTGAGCTACTCTTTCAGATGATCACCTCCAGGGCTGAGTGGGCTTGAATCAGCTGGGATATCCTCCTTCCTCACTACCATTTTGTTACCATCCAACAGAAAAACACTGAATTATCTAACAAGCACAAGCCATACAGTCACAGCTTTTCCTTCGCACTACAGGAAACTCATTAGGAGTCCCAATCCATAGCTGTCAGATCCATTTCAGGTTATACAACTTGTATAGCACTCCTCTGATCAGCGCTGCTCTGCTAAGGGCAAGAGGCCTTACATAGGAGGGGATCGGAGAGTGTTCTTCCCAGTTAGTGCTGGGAAATGCTGATTTGACTATGGGTGATGAAGAATAACTGGCATCGGGAGATGCTGGGAAAGTATTAATACTAATACTAATAATAATTACCTACACTTACATAGCGCTTTTCTGGACACTCCACTCAAAGCGCTTTACAGGTAATGGGGACTCCCCTCCACCACCACCAGTGTGCAGGCCCCATCTGGATGATGCTCCAGTATACTCCCCACACACCAGCAATCCGTGGGGAGGAGAACAGAGTGATGAAGCCAGTTCAGAGATGGGGATTATTATGAGGCCAGGGGGAAATTTGGCCAGGACACCAGGGTTACACCCCTACTCTTTTCAAGAAACGCCCTGTGATTTTTAATGACCACAGAGAGTCAGGACCTCGGTTTTGCATCTCATCCGAAGGACAGCGCCTTTTTACAGTATAGTGTCCCCATCACTCACATAGACCACAGGACCGCACATAGACCCTTATTGGTCCCCCTAACACCTCTTCCAGCAGCAGAAGTTTTCCCAGAATGTCTCCCATCCAGGTACTGACTGACTTCCACCTGCCGAGCTGCAGTGGGCTGCCAGTTATGAGTTGCAGGGTGATAAGGCAGCTGGCATAATGGTGCCATAAGAGACCTCAAGCCCCAGAAGCGCATGGGGACACTGCTGAGGTCTGGGCCCTGATGTTGGCGAGAGCAGGAATGCCCTACCTGTCCAGGTGTGCCAGGCGCTGCGTCTGGGGGTGACGGGAGGGCTGGTCTTCCTGGCGGTCCGCTGGGCGCGGGTGCGAGTGAGAGGGTGCCAGCCTCTGGCGGTGCTGGGGGCCTGAGTGACTGATCTCGAGGACACTCACCTCCCCCAGGCCCAGGCTGCCCAGGAGCGACTGCAGCCCAGTGAAGGACAGCGTCTCATTCTCGCCATACTGCAGGAAGAGCCTGTGCAGGTAATAGCCCTGCAGACACATGCAGGAGGTCAAAGGCACTTTAAAGAATCAGTATTGATGAGTGCATTTAATACCATGATAAAAGTAAAATGCACATAGTAACTTGCAAAACCTCCAATTTACATCACAAAATAGACTAAATTCCCAGGTATGGGCAGCGCCACATTCTGCGATTCAGCTGGCTGGTGAATACATCTCTTTTAATACCAATAGAAATATTGCTCTCAACGTCAAGACGGTGTTGCTGATAAACCCGCTGATAACTGACTTGTTAACTCTGCCTGCAGATCACATGGAAGCATTTCTGCGATGAAATATCTGCTGCACAGCCTGTACTTATTCGCTCATTCATCACATTACATTAGTCATCATAGTGACTAGTGAGCAGGAAGGGCCGCCTCACGTTACAGTTCATGGGAATTCTCACTCTTGCCCGTGTTGAGAGAACAGGGGTTTGTGACAATATGGTGATTTACAGTACTTTCACAAAGTTTGCTATTTTGTGCTTAGAAATTCGAAATCTGGGAAATTTTTCCATACCGTCAATTTATTTTGAAACCGAGATTGAATAACCAGTCTGAGAAATTGGGACTGCAGTTCCCCTTTAACCTGTCCCAGATCACCATCCATTCCATTAATCTTATTCCTCGTGAGAGGCGTGGGATCCGGTTGTGTCGCTGACACAAGTGGAAACTATGGGGAAGTGCATGTAATACTGAGTACGGTTTTAAGATGTCGTACAAAGCACTGGGACAGGAGTACAAATACAAAGTGGGGAGTGAGTGTGGAACAAGCTAACCAGCTGTGTTGTTGAAGCTGATACCTTGGCTTCTTTCAATAAACATCTGGATGTGATCCTTGACCCATTAGCCACTACTAACCAGACAGGCCTGATGGGCCAAATGGCCTTCTCTCCCCTGTAGCATTTCTCATGTTCTTATGTTCCTGAAGCACTAGGTGCAAGAGGGGACTGCACTATGGAAAAGATACCAGTCCATTACACACATTTTGCAGACAATAATTATGCCATCCAGGTCTATGGAAGGTAGAGGATTCCAGAGCACCTGGTAAAACTCCACACAACCATGTGGAGAACATGCAAACTCCACACACAAGGTACCCCAATCAAATTCTATATTTGTACCGCAGGTATTAAGACAGGAAGAGCAGGACTACAGAGGCTTGGCAGTAGATGAAACCCCAGCTTTTGGAGTGTAAAACTGATGACTGTGAGAGTATTTGTATTCATTTTCTCGCACGAGGAGGTGTATTCCTGGTTACTGGAGTAGATGGCTCTGAGGGAACCCCGATCTCCTGTTAGAGACCTCCTGTCTCCTTGCCCTGGTGCCAGACTCAAACTACCTCATTCCAGTTCGGTAATTTGCTTCCTTTCCTCCCCCCTGCTAGTCTAGCAAGCTTTCATCCTGCCGGGATTATTCTCTGCTATTCTCTGCACCTTCAGTGTTCCCCATTTCCCCTTCTCCATCTATCATTCATGTGTTTCATGGAAGGCAAAATCCACCTGTGACGATCCTTCACCCCCCTTGTTTAATCATTTCCAGTTACTCCTGGACTGTAACATGAACTGAACTGTAACGTGAGGCGGCCCTTCCTGCTCACTAGTCACTATGATGACTAATGTAATGTGATCAGAACGCAGATACCGACTCCCCCACTCCAAAACAGATTCATACCTGTAGCCATATCGTTACTTGACACCCTCTATGCAAATATAGGGGGGAGCGGTGGCTCTGTGGCTAAGGATCTGCGCCTGTGGCTGGAAGGTTGCCAGTTCAAATCCTGCAGCCGGCAGAGGAATCCTACTCCCTGAGCAAGGCCCTTAACCCCAACTGCTCCAGGGGTGCTGTATAAATGGCTGACCCTGCACTCTGACCCCAAGCTTCTCTCTCTGTCTGTGTGTCTCATGGAGAGCAAGCTGGGGTTTGCGAAAAGACAAATTCCTAATGCAAGAAATTGTATAGGGCTAATAAAGTGATGTTATGTTAAATATGTGTGTATATTGTTGGTCCTGTCTTTTTTCTTAAGTCCGTCTGTATACCAACATTGCTGCTGTAAAACGACTTGCCCCCCCCTCTCTCCTGCCCCCCACGTCCATACCTGCTCCTCCAGGGCTTCCCCCAAGGGGGACAGCCTCCAAGACCCTCCTTCATCAGTGGCGTCCCACGCCCCCTCTGACCCATTGCCTTGGTGCGGCTCCTCTGCCGGCACGTGATTAGACAGTTCCTGACCCCGAGTGGGACCAATGAAAAGGGAGGACAGGAATGTGGGCGGGGTGACGAGCGCGAGAAACCACACCCACTCTGTGGTCTTGATGGGCCGGGGCATATTATTGGCTGACACCAGTGTCTGGAAGGAAGGAGCAGTAAGGAATGGATTAGCACAGTGCACACTCCACAACAGGGCAGTTCAATCCTCTGCAAGCTTAGAGGTTTTGTCAAATCACCCTCAAACAAAATCTGCTAGCTTCCAAAACCCACAAACTCTTCATCTTTTCATTTTTTGGGAGATGTACCAAATACTATTCTCTTTTCTTCCTCACACAGTGGGCTAAAAGTGAAGCCATGCAGATCTACACTTTACCCAGAAATGCACTGACTAGGCATCTTTGGCAAGAGCAAGGACACATTCATTGGACTAGAAGACTGGTAACGAGCAAGAAGAGGCCAATGAGCCCCACCAGCTCATCAGGCTGCTTGCAGCTCAGTGATCTGAACATCTTGTCCAGCTGGTGGTCAAAGGATCCTGCGCAATCGGCTTCCAAAAGTCTGACTGGGCAGCTGGGCCAGACTGCCCCTTGCTCTTGGGTTTCTGACCTCTGCAGACTGTTCTTCAGCTCCTGAACAGGACAGGACGCCCCAGGCACTCAGCTGCTCGGGGTGCTGTAACACCTCGCCCAGTCTTCATTGTAGTTTGCATTTCATATTAAGTATTTTTTATTTGGGATAAAATAACCCCATCGAGATTTAATACAGTCAGGTTTACTATGCTTTGGCAATTGACTTCATATGCACAATTATGACTCTGCTAGTTTCCCACAGTACGGCAGGATTCACTGTTATTATCCTGTACATTTACCATAATTTCACTGTGTATAACGCTCTTTTAACAAATGGTATCCCGTTATACGCATTTCAAGGCTTAAATCTTAAAAACACCTGGAATATATTACCCAACAACCCCAAATCGCACACTACTGCGTGCTGCGCTGCGTCTCTCTAAATACCATAAAGGTGTTCGTTACGTTTCAAAGAGGATCTACCTGATTTTCAGATTTTGAGGAAAAAAACAGCTTTCTGTCTACAGCTGGTTGAGTAATTTTCTACCCAGTTGTCTTGGGAGACAACTTTGTTTCACTAAAGTGTCTGCGGCATTGTTGCTTTCCCGTTTGACCACGGGCTGCTTGCAGTATCTTCACAATATAATGTCTCCGATCTTTACAATAAAATCAGGCGCGATCGGATTTCTCCGCGAAACATTTCGATAACGCACTGTAATCGTTCATCTTTCCTCACTGCTGTAGCAACCCATTCGCGGCCTAACGAGAACAGTTGAGTTTGAGAGCATCTTACCTGAATCGTTCTCAAAACAAGAGCACAGCAACCATCGCCCAGTCCGGCTACCCAGGGGATTAATTGTATGCTTTTTGCAGTGTGACCCTGACGGTCGGCGAACAGCGAGGTGTTGTCTGTGAGCTAATAAACATCCCGGGCCTCTGCGAGTTAATATTGCACGAAACAATGGCAGTTAACTTTTGGCTGACCCGCGAGAACTGATAAAGAGTTTTAAAGCAAATTACGGCCATTAAAAGCGCTGTTCTTTTACAGCTCTTGAGCCTTTGCAGGTCCACAATCGCCTTGCTTCGGCAGGAGATAGGGAAGAAACCACAAACTAACCGGTACACTGGTGACCTCTCGGACATTTCAGTGATCATCCGTGATTCAATTACCAGGCGATGACAATGTGATTTCCTCCCGCAAACCAGTCTCTGGCGATGCTATTGGGCTTTAAATGGCTATGGTAGTAGTAAAAATTGGAAAACAATTTACTGTGTGACTGAGGTAAGGTGCAACTACTTGACTTGTGTTTTCTGTGGTCTGCCTTCATTTCAGAATAGATGGTTCAGTGATTCCAGTTTTCCAAGGATCCAGGACATGTATAATGTTACAATTATTAACAGTAAATTGTTATACATAATTGAGTCCTTTTACTTGCAACTGTTCAGTGTCATTGCTTGAAAATATCATCAGAATCCAGTTGACAACAAGGAAATTCATGGTTGATTAATTATCCCAGTGGTCTCCTCAAGCACTTCTTAGGAAAAACATCTCTACCTGTATTCTAGTACCTGTATCTCAGTAGTAATATGAAAATTAGGGCGATACAAATCTTAGCCACATGATGTGGCACCATGTTTTTGGAATTCCCTACAAAAGCAGTGGAATTGTGTTGCAGATTTTCTCTTTAAAGCCAGATCTGTTGGGCCATGTCATCGTCCACCTGAACACCCTCCCTTTCACCATTAGGAGTGCATAGGAGTGCATAGAAGAGGTGTTAGTGGGGCCAGCAGGGGGCGCTTACCCTGCGGTCCATGTGGGTCCTAATGCCCCAGTATAGTGACAGGGACACTATACTGTAAACAGGCGCCATCCTTCGGATGAGATGTAAAATCGAGGTCCTGACTCTCTGTGGTCATTAAAAATCCCAGGGTGTTTCTCGAAAAGAGTAGGGGTGTACCCCGGTGTCCTGACCAAATTTCCCATTGGCCCTTACCAATCATGGCCTCCTTATAATCCCCATCTATGAATTGGCTACATTACTCTGCTCTCCTCCCCACTGATAGCTGATGTGTGGTGAGCGTTCTGGCGCACTATAGCTGCCGTCGCATCATCCAGGTGGGGCTGCACATTGGTGGTGGTGGAGGGGAGTCCCCATTATCTGTAAAGCACTTTGAGTGGAGTGTCCAGAAAAAGCGCTTTATACGTGTAAGCAATTATTATTAATTATTATAGGCTCAGCCGAAAATGCCATTGTTAGAGCTAGCCTATGTACTGCTAGTGGGAAGACGTGTGTTGTCATCTCATATGAATTTTGGTCTGTGTAAAAACAGGCAGTACTGGAGATCCAAGTACGGAAATCCCATCTTGCAGGATTTTCAACTATAAACACACCAACACAAAACCCTCCGACACGTGCTCCCAATACAGCAGCTTTATTTCCAAAACACTGACGCAGATGCGCTGCACCTTTTACAGAAATATCGAGATCTGTCTGAGTAAAGGAAAGCTCTCGCTAAAATCGGCACCAAGACAAAGATCGGTGTGTACATTTCAAACTCAGACACGGATCCCTCACGATGCTTTCATTCATGGATCTTTCACGCTATGGCGTGCCTTTTATCTTTCAGCTGGCTGCGAGTAACCTTTGACCCGGATGGCTAACTGGATTTCCAAAGGCCAATAGGATTCGTTGACCAGCTGGTGCATAAGGACCAGAGTTGGCCGATCGAGTCAACCATCTGGGAAGCGAGAAAGCACAGTGTCAGTGGCACAGCTGTTGAAGTTTTCATTCCTGAACCAGATCAGTTCGTTCAGCTTGCAGCTCATGAACAGCATGCCCCTTGACCACTGATGGACAGGAGCTGGCTGCCTTAACACTTCTTCAGGAAATGTTTTGTTTTCTGGGGGGGAGTGAGGTTCAGAGGATTGTATTTACTCCCTCAGTCCTCTTATCTCCAGTCTGGGGCAAAAGTCCAGCACAGCCTCCCAGACAGCTTTCATTGTTTTCCAGCTTCAATAATGCAATATAGCTCCCCTTATCTCTGGAAACCCCAGGACTAAAGACAGAGATAAAAGCAATGTTGATTTAGGATTTTAACATGTGCTAGACACAAATGCCCAATCACCCTCCTTTTTAAACATCACATACACTCTTGTATTCAAAATTACACCCCAGCCATCAGAGAAAGATCCTTGTTGGACTGACTGCCAATTACACAGCAGCAGCAGTCGGGAGCAGAAAGGATTGGATTCCAGTGCCCATTCACCTGGCACATGGCACCCTGGTGATCGGCTCGTTCAGCTGTCCGATCAGAAGCCACGCAAGAGGTGACAACGCTTTAATACATTTTATAAAACTCTGTCATAACATTCAGCTGGTAGGACATACAGACCTTACACGGGGCCCAGACAAATAAAAACGACATGAGTTAAATCCCTCTCTCTCTAGTATTGCATGTGACACAGGGACCTAGTATAGAGGCTGAATATCAGATCGCATCCTGTCTCACTCACTGTTCTCTGTCTGGGCAACAGCCATGCCAAGGAACTGACACAAAGACTTCTGGGAGGCTCTCTGCGGTGAGTGGTACAGGCAGCAATCTTTCATTCAGCCTTTCTTTACTAAGAGGAAGAAATTCATGACAATTACAAGCAGGGGTTTGCAAGTACACAAGTGTAGTTTAGTACACAAATCGCTAATGTCCTGTACTGCAAGCTTGTCAACTGACACCTACTTGTTCTCCCTGTGCTTTCATGAGGGGGAATACAGGCAGTACAAAACAGAGCCAGTATTTTCTATCATCATGCTCCCACTACCCAGAAGGCTTTTTTCCCACTGTGCTTTTTACAAAACCAGGTCCCACAAATTCTGCAAACCCCTATTTCTAACTGTTTTATTTTTGAAATCATTATTATTGGGATTTCAGAGACTTACAATTAAACTGAGCACCCTCAACCAACAGTTCTTCTACCAGTACCCTAGTGGCTGAGTCTGGCCCTGCACGATGCACAGAGCCAAACCATTCAGCTGATAGCCATGTTTGTGCCTGCTCTGTTTTGTGCTGGGTGTTGTGTCACAGGCAAACTATCTTTATCAGGGTTGCTCATCACAGGCAGCAGGTCTCTGCATCTCTGTTTCTATTGTGTGAGGTGGGCTGGAGATGCCGAGCCCAGTCTGCCGGGGTGTTGGGAACTCCAGCAGGTAAGGGAAGAGTCCACAATTCTGGCAGACCGTCTTTTGCGTCCAATGGCATGTGCTGGTGGGGGAGTGCCCAGCCCCTGGTCCAATCATCTCTTGGCAGAGCGTCGCGTCTCCTTGCCGTTGCTGACGGTCGCTGCCCCTGCTCCCTGGTTGGCTGCTGCGCGGCTGCTGCCCCGCCCACCCTGCTGGGGATTGGTGCTGCTGGCAGCAGCTGGGTTGCTCACTCCGTTCCCATTGGTGGTCTCACTTCCTGTGGAAGAGGAGACACCTTTCCAGCTCAAAGCTGCCGGTTTATCTGCTACCTACAGTAGCTGCCAGGACAGCCAAATGCACACTGTTGTGGTATCACACAGACCTGAATTCGCTCTCCCTCAAATGCAGATTTTTATTAAATAAAATATTTACTGTGAGCCTTCCAAAAGGATATGCTACTTATTTTTTTTCACCTGAATCTCATCCAAACCACACTGACATAAGCGAAGTAGCAGAGACACTCCAGACAATGAGAATTAATTAGGAAGGAGCCTCACTCCTACTCCTTCCAGAAATGGACAATTTACACACATCCAATCAAAAAAGAGCCCAAAAACAACACAGATTCGAAAACTTTGAGCAGAAAAATGCATGGGTATCACCTTTAATATCTTCATGACAAGAACTCCTACATGTAATTGTTCAAACTGAACTCCCTTCCTTCACTATCCTATGTCATCCTGACTAACTAATGCCACAATAGGTTTTGAGATACTGACTTAGGAAGATCTAATTTTCCATTCCTTTCATGCTTCGTGGGAAAACAAATCTGCAAACTAATTGGTCACAGTGCAAACTAGTGTTCAAAAAGTGTCCCTCATCACAAGAGACCTGCTCACCAGCAATTACCATCCATTCACCTTCATCTGGTCATGATCCTGTCAATCAGCTTCAGAGGCCGAAAAGCTCACAAAAATTGATGAATGGATTTGAGCTGGCAAGTGGCAGCCCTACCCTTGATTAATGGGAGTAAATACACACTTAAAACTGCTTAAAAGGTTATTTGCAAACTCATTTGAGTCCACATGTGCCCCCAACTTCATAGAGAACAAAGATTGTGAATGTTTGCACTCATCACCTTGAAAAGGTGAACCTTTTTATCTGCACCCTGGAGGGTAGGAGAGAGGAGGAGGGACAAGGACACCACCTTATCAGCTCTGTGCTGGTCATTACAAAGGCCAAGAAGTCAAGTAGCCAGTCAGGCTGCATCTTTCAAGAGCCTGCCTGACCTCGAGATAAACCTGTTGTTTGCCCTCTGTGTCTTACAGAACCCTGTAAAACTGCCTGAAAAAAATGTGGTTACTTTCAGGGCCTTAAAGAAGACTGATGACTGTGAGTTTAATTAATTGATTCTCGACCGTATTTGTCGATCAAGTGAAAAAACACTGTTTCACTTGTCAGAGGTCAGATGGACCCCCCTAACACACCACCTTTTCAATTTTTACCAGCGATCGCTTTATGTCACGATCCCAGGGAATCAGTGTGGCTGTCTGTGGCTGTCGGCCTTCCCTGCCTGCCCGCTGTGGGGGTGAGACTGTGACGCCCTCTGGGGTGTGAGAAGGAACCCGCCCAACTGCCCCGCCCCGCCCCGCCCCGCCCCCCTTCCTCGGCCCGGCCTGCACTCACCGGCGCCGCTGGCAGGAGCACTGCTGCTGTGTGACGTGCTGCCCTGGTCGCTCATCGTCTGCGTGAGGACAGCGAGGAGACGGGGAGGTGAGACACAACGACACCTTCGTCGTCCTCTGCTCCCGAGACCGTGTAGCTCTTTTTTTAATTAAAACCTACCGTTTTGTTCGCCTGCGTCACATATTCGGGGTTGGGCTCGCTGAAATTGGGGACTTCAGAATAGACCATGCAGAACCTGCGCAGGGGGACAGGAAGGGTCAGGCCAGCTGAGACGCCCCGAGGAGAGGAGATGCTGCCCCGCCCTCACCTCCGAATTTTGGAAGCCAACCCGATGTTGCTGTGAAACCCTGCAGTGATCCTTACCCTTCTGTTTCTTTATATTTAGTCATGCTAACAGCTCTCTCACCCTGCAGCTCACAACCGGCAGCCCACTGCAGCTCAGAAGGTGTGAGCCTGGTCAGTACCTGGATGGGAGACCTCCTAGGAAAAACTAACGCTGCTGCCGGAAGAGGTGTTAGTGGGCCAGCAGGGGGCGCTCACCCTGTGGTCTGTGTGGGTCCTAATGTCCCAGTATAGTGATGGGGGACACTATACTGTAAAAAGGCGCTGTCCTTCAGATCAGATGTAAACCGAGGTCCCGTCTTTCTGTGGTCACTAAAAATCCCAGGGCAGTTCTAGGAAAGAGTAGAGGTGTAACCCCGGCGTCCTGGCCAAATCTCCCCCTGACCTTTACCAATCATGGCCTCCTAATAATCCCCATCTCTGAACTGGCTTCATCACTCTGTTCTCCTCCCCACTGAGAGCTGGTGTGTGGGGAGTGTACTGTGAGCACTACAGCTGCTGCCACATCATCCAGGTGGGGGCAACACATTGGTGATGGTGGAGGGGAGTCCCCATTACCTGTAAAGAACTATTAGTGGAGTGTCCAGAAAAGTACTACAAATATATGTGTAAGGAATTATTAGTATTAATAATAATAATAATAATAATAATAATAATAATAATAATAATAATGCGCACATGTCCTGTTTGCATGTCACCTATTGCCCTTTCACTTCAGCACAGGATTAGCTTCGCGGAGTAGCTGAGTAAGGGAAGGGCTGTCGCTCAGTTATAGTAAAAGCAGGCAGTGTGACACTTACTCTCCGATCTTCTGCAGCTCTCCTCCCCTGCCCGTGTATAGAGTCAGGCAGCCCTTGAAGACTGAGGCGTAGCTGAAAGACACAGACAGAGGGATCAGAGCCTGGGCACCTCAGCAGTAATCAGGGAGTGAATGGGGAATACTGGTATACCGATATAGCCATGCTTATCACTGTTCTGTGTAAGCTCCCTAGAGGTTATCGGTATTTGCTGTACTACATCATACCTTAATTATTGATCCTTAGTTGACAAAACCTGCTGTGTTTATCAAGTATACAGGTGTAAAGCTGAGTTTGCAGCGCAAAAGGTTAGGATTGTAGTAAAAAACTTGCTATCTTACTGGACATACAGTATTTAATTCAGGTGGGTAGCTGCATCAGCTGCATCAGAAAGAAAACACAACGTTTTGGCCGTGGAGCCTTCTTCAGGTGTGTGAAGAAGGCTGAAGAAGGCTCCATGGCCAAAACGTTGTGTTTTCTTTCTTCTTTTTTTCAGCATGGAATAAACCTATTACTTCTTCCTATGCAGTACTTAATGTTATTTCATTATTAGCTCAATTTATTTAGAAAGATCTGCTTAAATCAAGGTACACCAATAAACCTTAACTGAGAACTGCAAACTACTGTAGTGGTAAAAGGATTTCAGGCCTGGGCACATGTGTTGCAGCTTTCCAATGAGTCCTTATCCAGTGCCAGGCAACTAGAACATCATACACAGCCCCCTTATCAAGCATTCCCGATTATCCAGACAAGCACAGAACCACTACAGTTACGGATCTAGGATGGCAGTACCCCTTGGTGAGTCGGATGATGTCTCCCGCCTGGATCAGCCCCCCGATTTCATCCCACACCGAGATGCTGATGCTGCCAGTCTTGTCCGCCACCTTGCAGGTGCGCACCTGATGCCCGTCCTTGGTCTTCGTCACGCGCCCTAGGCCAGATACAGACAACAGGTGTCAGAGCTCGTCCTCGCCTTCCCATCAACACCTTTGGTGCTCGGCGAGAGTAGTGCTGTCTGATCCAAGTCGCTGGAGAGCCTCTAATCCGCTCTGTAGCTGCGCTCCCAGCTACACCACTACAACACGCGGTGGCTCAGTCCATTGTCACGATGAGCACAATCTTCAGCCTCTGAGAGAAGTCGCCTTCAAAACCTGAAGGCCAAGGACTCTTCCAGGACCTGGGTTAAGAGACCACTCTATTCATAAAGGACACGACCTCTTGATGCATCAAAGCTGATCGTTCGTTGTAACAGAATGGTTTGACTATGTAAAGCAAATTTGTAAAAAACTAATTAAGAAGAAAATCACCCATGCTGAAGTATTACATAAAATTAAACAAAAATATTGACCATAGAAATTCTGATATATAACAAGTAGCTGCGTACAAAGTAGTTTCCGTTTTACATTCCTGCTGGAGCTGCTGCAGTGTTATAATAATAGCAGCTGCTTACACCATTTCAACGCTTTCTGGACACTCCACTCAAAGCACTTTACAGGTAATGGGGACTCCCCTCCACCACACATCCCGTGCAGCCCCACCTGGATGATGCTCCAGTACACTCACCACACACCATCTCCTAGTGGGGAGGAGAACAGACTGATGAAGCCAGTTCAGAGATGGGAATTATTAGGCGGCCATGACTGGTAAAGGCCAGGGGGAAATTAGGCCACAGGGAGTCAGGACCTCTGCTCCACGGGACCAGGCCTTACCGGTTTCCAGGACGATGAAGATGACGTTGAGGTTCTTAAGCCCGGGCTTGATATCCTTCACGTGTGTCTCCGTCGTCATCTTTCAGCGCCCTTCCCCTTCCCCCCTCCCTCTGGCTGGGAGGAAAAGAGAAACGGAAGTCAGCCGTCACGCGTTGCACAAGGCAGCCTGGTAGTGCTTTACAGGGGGACAGATATACTGCAGGACTCCCTTTGAACATCCAGTCTGCGATGGGGTACCTGTGTTGGTGAACTTCTACTGCTGCACCATCGAGAACGTCCTCCCCAATGGGATCACCATGTGGTATGGCACATTCTTCTCGAGAGAGAAAGGCACTGCAGAGAATGGTCAATATGGCCCAGAAGATCATCGCCTGTGGTCTCACCAAGATTAAACAGCTCTTTAAGGACCGCTGCCGTGGTAGAATTCTGGCCATCACAGAGGACAGTCACAACCCCGGGCATGAGCTCTTCACCCCACTGCCCTCAGGCAAGAGATACAAGAGCATACGGACACTGACCACCAGATTCTTCAATAGCTTCTACCCACAAGCAGTGCGACTGGCGAACACATTTAGCCATGCCCCTCGGACCACACCTACACCATCGACCTCATTATGATTTCTTATTTATTGCACATCTCCAGTCATTGTTTACACGTCTGCATTGTTTACATTCACACTGTTTACTTGTTTACTTGTACATTGTCTACTGTTCGTTTGTATATTGTCTTGATGCACTGTCTGCACTTTGTGTTTTCACACTTGTTTTAACAATCGAGAGGCTTTCTGTAAGTAAAAATTCCATTGTACCTGTACAAGTTCTACGAGCCATGCCAGGTTTCGCGAATGCATGTGCCCTATCCTCAGGTGCTGGATGGATTCCCCAGCCCTTCTGTTGGCCTGTTTTGAGAAAATGTGCATAGACACTTTCTTTCCTGTGTCGCGGGACAGACTGAACAACAGCAGGCCGATCAGAAGACCTGGACCGGAGCAAACCTCTATAGGAAGAGGAGCCAAGGCCTCCGCCCCCTGAAAGGGGGCCTGGGCAACCACCGTCGCTCCTCTCCTGTCACATAAAGCCAGTGTGAATCATAATGCTTAGCATCAAACTGTGAGCACATACTGTAAATATCTTTTCAAGGAGCCAATCAGAGCCCGTGCAAACGTCTGTTCAAGGAGCCAATCAGAGCCAACACAGATACCTCCTCAGTAAGCCAATCAGGGCCAGTATAAATATCTTTTCAACTAGCCAATCAGGGCCAGTGTAAATATATTTTCAACTAGCCAATCAGGGCCAGTGTAAATATATTTTCAACTAGCCAATCAGGGCCCGCGTTCTAATCAACTGTAGCGCAGAATAGAGCCAATTTCTTCCAGTTATACTATCCATCAATGGCTGAGGATCCAGATAAAAACGTCACCGGTGCAATAATAAATACACCCCAGCACGCGCGCACACACACACTCTGCACTTGATGGCGGAACCCTTTGCGATGCGGTACTTGCATTGGGATCAATGTTACGGCCAGGAACTTCATGTGCACTAAATGCCCGCTAAACAACATTTTTCAGCAATACTTTGGAAGTCGCAAAAACGCTACTCGCAGTGGCATCGGTAAATGAGCAAAACCATGCAATGCTACATGCAGTCGTTCAAATCTCTCGCGCCTACTACAGGTATTGCTCTTATAATTAAAAAAAAATCTCTGTCCGTCGGTTTTTGCTGTATTCCTTAAACCAACCCGATTAAGTTAGCAGGCAGCCTGTGTAACGCGGTGGTTCAGACTCTCCTCTCAAAATTAGGTTCCAGTCCCAGCTCGGGCATGGTTTTTGGACCCTTTATGAAGAATGGGACAAATTCCCAGTAATATGTCATATGTGAGCTGACACATGTATGCCATGTTATCGTTTTGAGGATAAACGGAACAATCTGTTACTGTACTGTAGATGTCAGCCTGACCAAAGAGCGAGAAGCGAGAAACTCTTTTGGGTGCTCAGTCTTCATTAACCCAGACGGTCCATCTGTCATTAACTTCCGCAAATAAATGTACTATATGTCAAACTATCGTTTCCCACAGCATGTTTTTTTTAATATTTTACCAACTGGAGCCCAATAATGCAGAGGCTGTATTTTTCTAATCCTGTGGAGAGAATCCTACGCGTAGCCCGATCGCAAAGATTTCGGGGCGCTGTTTTGCTTCAGTAGTAAAAAAATGTATATGACAACCTGTTAGACGTCTCGTCGTCTTCACAGATCTGTAGTCCGGGGGTGTACAGGAACTGGCGGCGATCCACTGTTTCTGTTGTAAGACTAGGTTTTCTGCTCAGCCTGTTAGCGCGCCCCCCCTCGTCTGTCCGTCCAATCGGGGCCGAAGATCGAGGACGCGCACGTACAACACAGCGTGACGTCCCTCGCAAAAAAACGTTGCAGTGGCCAAACGTACCCAGTAGAGAGCGACGGTTTTTTTTTAACCCTTGAGCTAGTTTTTGTCCCAGACTGCGCTCATTTATAGGGCCACATGCTTTAGAATACTGCCGGGAGTGTTACCGAAGTGCATACAAATGTACTTGTGCTGGGGTTAACTCACTAAAAGATCGGAAGAAAGCATGAGTACCAAATTACCAAAGAAACCGTCCCCATCTAGTCTAGTGGTAAACTCAGACTACAGAACTGTGCGTGCTTTAACACAGGTCAGGGTGGTACAGCTGAACTCCAGTCGCTTTTTTTCCTCTTCATGATTTGGAATACTCTTGTTAATTCTAAACAGACTTCAGTCTGACCTTACTCAAATGGCGTTCCTACCCTGACGGGGAGGTTTCTTAAGAGCTGTCCCCAGGACAGGCTGAAATACCACTCTGCTGTTGGTGACTTTTTTTTCTGGCTTTTGAACATGTTATTATCGCGAATTGAGGCTTTTAGCCAAAGCGCCTTGTACGTCACACAAGACACACGAGTAGACGTGTACTGTATAGCTAAACAAAACAATAATGTCATTTTGCACTTATGACTTGATAAGCTTTCAGATTTAATATTTCACATGACCACACAAAGTAAACATAACCTGCTATTTAAAATCATATTAAAACACTTCCAGACGCGTTTTTAAGAAGCGTGACACCGGAATACCTGTCTGGTGACAGAGCGAGGACACTGCGGGAGTGTCCAATTATACCAGCAGTCCTGTTACTACGCGATCTTCTCTATCTGATTGGCTTTCGGGACCTGCCAATAATAGTTCTCAACCTGTGATAGGTCGATTTGACTGTCACTCTTAGACGTAACGGGTGTTCCACCCCTTCTGTCTTTTTGGTTGCGTAGCAGCGGGGCGCGGAGGCCGGATTTTGGAGGGGTGTTTGGCGAGGAGAATCCCGAGAAGGGAAGCTTTTACGTTTTAAATTAAAGGAATAAGACCTGAAGAAGACGTGAAAAAGAGTGGAAGAGGTATTCAGTTTGTTTACGCTTGAGCGTTATTATAATTATGAGGTCGAGGGGGGTGTTTCTCCAGAGCGCTTGTTTGGTCATTGAGTTGTAGGCGAGCGGACCTCCTGGCTGGCGAGAGCCGGGGGATGGCGAGCACGGGGCGGGCAGACCGAGCGCAGGAAAGGCTGAGGCTGCAGGTGGGGGCGGCGAGAGGAACAAGGCCGTAGAGCGAGAGACCGAGAAGGTGCAATTCCGAATGTCTCTATTAATGAAGGGCTGGATGATATTCTCAGGTAAATTTCACTGATACGAAACCGGTTGTGTTTTCAAACGCAGCCCCTGCGCGTCCCGGTGAACTGTAGGCATTCGCAAATCTCGAACGTCAATCTGAAAGTTATTTTATTGAAGTTGAGCACCGAGCTCTTTTCGTTTGTGTTGGCCGAGGTACCGCAGAACGTTATTTCACTCAGCATTGTGACCAAACATAGCCTTTGTATTAATTTCAGGAGTACTGAATACTAGTACTGCAAGGTTCTGAGCAGTTGCTGTAAATCAAGGTTTGTGGCCGGGCAAGCACTTTAATATAAATCTTAAATTGCAAAACCATTCAGCCCTTACAGTAGTGTCGATAAAGACGGATTAATTCAACATCAGATTTGTTTGGGAGGCACTTTGTTTTCGGTTCATTTCAAAAGGTACAGGTTGGGCAGAGTGCTGACGACATTTAGATAGTCCGTATTTGTCTTGATCAAATAAGACAGTACGGATTCATTAGAATCCTAACTTTTGCAAAGCTTTCCGTTTTTCGTGTCGAAGCTGTCGTCGATGCACACAAACCCAGGTTCCTAGCTGCAGTTCAGTAAAGGTTGTGTGCTGTACGATGTATTGCTGTTTTAAATCCGTATTTACTGTAGATGCTGGAATGACTCACCCAGGCACAGTCTAAGGACGAATTAGAACACGAGAGGTTGGGGACGAGATGCAAACATGCATTCCATGTAGCCCTTTCCATAGTAGTTAATTGATTACAGGATCTCATCCAGCTTTTTTTTTAAAGAAACCAGGGTATCGATTTTAACACCATGGCTGGGTAGCTTGTTTCCTACTCCCACCATCTGTTGGGTAAAGATGTGCATCCAGTTATCAGGATTAAGTACGGTTTCCACTTGTTTCGCTGTTCATTCAGAAGAAGGCTGCTGGGTTTACTTTGTCAAGGCCTTTGAGGGTTTTAAATACATGCATTAGGGTCCCTTGTAGTCTTCTCTCTTCAACACTAAAAATATTCAGTTCCTTGACTGTTTCCAGAGCAGACATCTTTTCCATAGAAATGACTGAAAGAAAAGAATGATGCATAGCTTGAATTAAGTTTTGTCCTCAAAAGTGGGATCACTGTCATTCAATGTATGTGCATTATCACAGACGTTTCCTGGAGCATAGTTTTTTTAATAACTGACTGGGTCCTGGGCAAGCAGCAGATCCCATCTGTATTTCACAGATGCTCAGATACTGGGTGGATTTGCAAAGCATGTGTGGCAGAGAAGTAGTATTCCCATTGCAGTCCTAATAACTGTATGATGACAGGTGTGTTTCTAACACATTTACTGCAAGGGGTTCATGAGTCCAGCCTGTTTATCTTTTAGGTCTACTCTAACCAACTGCAGTAAGTCACTATTATAACTCCCAGGCAATACAATGAGCATCAGTAAAGTGTGAGGGGTTCCCAGTTCCAGGTCCTGGAAACCCAATGATAGATTATGTCGCTGTTTTAGAAAGATGCTGTTGTGTTCAATGGACATGTCACAGGTGGGTAAACCTGTTCTGTCAAGAAGCTGTCTTTGTTGTCTTCCAGTATTCCAGTAGTAGGGAATATGCTTTTTTGAAATAAAAAGAGCTAGAATCCAGTGTTCTAAACCTGCTGATTTTTGCTTTTTCAATGAAAATTAAAGGAGAGCAGTCTTAAGTACTGCCCTTTGTGTGAGATGTTTGTTTCACTACTCAGTGCTGTTAAGGTGCCAAGTTTTTCAAAACGTTTTTTAATATTACTAGTGAAACGACTTCAGCAGTTTATGCATCTGTACTTTTGTTTTCCATTCTGAAACTGATTTATATTTATATTTATATTATATTTCCAGTCAGATGATTTATAAATGGGGGAGGGAAACACAAAGTCCATCTTTGCAAGGCAAGTGCAGAATGATTTCTCCCACGTGCTAGACTACAAACGGATTCAGGCTTCAAACTCCATCTGACTTTTCGGAAACAACTGGGATGATATTGAAATTTTCCTTGAACTTTGTCTGCCGGACCTTGATTCAACATCAATAAATGATTTGTTTATGGAAAGAGTGTTTTATTCCAGAGGGCTGAGATCTGGTGATGAACATCTGTCTACTGTAGCATTAAGCATGTTGAGAATATGTGACGCCCCTGAATGAAATGTTAGTCCATCTTGAGGTTACTCCCACTGCAATGCTGCTACCCATTTCTACAGCTGGCAGGAGGTTTGGTACCTTGAAAAATAAGGCTCCTTAGTTGAGGGTAAAGTAGCCCTATACTCTGCAGGGACTTAAATCCACAGCCGTCCCTTAGGGAGTCCAGAACCCTAACCGCTCCTGCTCACTGTTCTTTTGTGGATCACTTTTATTCCAGTTTGCCATTTATTTTCCCCATAGCCGTTTGTCATGTTAAGTCTAGGTCTGTCTGTCGCCATCCATTCTGCTAGTCACATTGAAGGAGTGTCAACGATCTTTGACATGTCTGTAGGGCCCCTTAAATACACCGTGAGTCTCTTACTGAGAAGCACACATACCTATGCTGTAGCCTTTCATAAGCTCAATCGTAAGAGCCTGTCTCCCTCAGCTGACTTGCACCTTAACTGCTGATCCCAGTAGAGTTTCCAGGTGTCCTTGATGGACAGAAAGGGGCAGAAGTCCTTAGCACATAGTTGCCTTTGAAGGCTGGCCTAGTGACTTGGCTTTCTTTGCATCTCTGTACAGTAGAACTTATTAAAATGCTGCTATAAAACATAGTTAAATCACGTCATAAGCTTTTCAGGTGTGAAGGTTACAGAAATAGCTGATAATTGTATAGTGATGCATTAATATGAAGTGCTTATGTAGCATCCCAATACAAAGTCATATGCGGTTTAGGGTTTATTAAGCTTTATATGGTTAGTTTTTCTTTCAGAACGATTTTAATTATTTGCATGGTGCAAGATAAACTTTGAATCTAAACGTTTGAGACTAGCACACAACTGGAGCAGTTGTGAAGGGAATAGCTTCAAATTGGGAGGGAGAACAGTGCGGTGTGGTATGAGTCCGTTTTGAGTCTAAGTAGTTCTCCAGTGTATTTGTATCACAGCACACACGCTATATGAAATAATATACTATTTACTGCATTGAATGAATAAGCAGAATATTTGCTAATGAAAAAGAAATTCAGCTTTGTCCGTTCAACTCTCTTTTCTTAACAGGTTGATCTATTTTACATTTTTTTAAACTAATTATTTAATCCGTTCCTGGGTAATGTCAGTTTCCAACCTATGACTTGATTTTGAGAAAATGTGAATGGACCAATATTCTATTGAAGTTACAAATAATTGCATACTGTTTTTTTCATCAATGCTCCTGAGCAATATGTACTGTAGTCATTTAAGGCAAGGCTCTGCATAAATTGACGGGATGTATTTCATTGTTATGAACATAAAAATGCTTGGATCCATCTGCTTTAAGCATTCCCATGTGGCCTATTATATATTAAACCCATTTACTGAGGCATATGCTGTGACAGCAGATATATGGGTTCAGCTAGGATTGTTTCAGAAGCTCTGCCTTTCTCCTTTCCTACGGATTGCTTATTTTCATTTTTACTGCCATCATTTTGGGGTTACAACTGGGGAGAATGGCAGATACATGCAGTCTTTTGATCAGCCCTGTCAACTGCC